AATATTTACTTTTCATGTTTAGGTTCCAGACGCTTGGCGCCCGCTAAGTAAACAATTAAAATATCAGAACAGGTTATTTGCCGAATAATAGGTTACACACTCTCAGAACCGGTTATTCGCCGAATAATAGGTTGAAGTCCTAGAATAATGTTTGAATAATATTTTTTCTTGTAGAATATAATACAATGCAATCTTAGTTGAGAAATTATTATACGCGTTTAGAAGAAGAATAAGATGCAAGAAAAACGTTTATATTTAATTATTTTCTTCTATACTTGTAATAAGATGTTGTATTACACCGGAATTCGGAAAAAAAATGTAAACCAATATAAAACAGCTGGTAATTATAGGATATATTAGATTACCTCACCATCTATATTGCCGTATCCACGATAATATTTCCTATGATTTTCATAGTTTTTTGCAGTGCAATGTCTAGTACAGGTTTATATCAGGATCTAGTCACTATGGTAATATTGTTACACTGTATTAATTATTTATTAAACAAATGTTCTATGCATCCGCCTTTCACCTTAACAATCACATGGAGACGAGAACTGAACTGGTCAATGACGAGATCCAGCAGTTCTTGTGGTAGTCGTCTCCACTTATCCTGCAGAACTTCTTATAGTTGATTAATAATTTGTGGGGTATAACCATTAACTACAATACATTGCTCCAGGTGCCCCCATGTGTGATAGTCCCAGGGGTTGGCATCTGGTGTATTGGGTGGCCATTCGACTCAGGATTAATCTTCTTCTAAAGGGACATCTTTCAAGAATGGGGGCTCTTTCAGCCCCAAGTGATTACATATTCCAGCAGGATAGCGCTCCTGACCATAGGCCAAAAGTCACTATGGAATATCTGGAGCAAAATACCCCTTGATTCATTAGTCCTGATGAATAGCCGCCACTTAACAAAGATTGCAGCAGATTTAGTGAACATAATAAATGTTCTATCGATGATCACATAAAATGATAGAAAATCACATTTTCTAGGAAAATCGGTAAATCTCGGACACATGAACAATTTACCATTAATATTCAAACATCTGACAAAAAAATTTGAAGTCAGTATTAGCTTAAGTATTTGAATAGTAAAATATGCCTATCCTTAAGTTTCTGTAAAAAAATTTCATGTCAATACCATAATGTTATGATACTTTTTTTGCCTTCTAAAAAGGTTGCAAAATTTTTTGGCCCACCCTGTATGTATCAATGAAAGGATGAACGATTTATGTAAGTGTCGCATTCAGTGATGCATTCAGTAATGTATATTTTGAATGTAGTCTTTGCAAATTGATGCCTGGGGATAGCATGAAATAAAAGAAAAAACTGTCGAGTTTGAAATTCAAAACTACACAAAATTTCGTAATTTGTTTATGGTCTACATTGCCTAAAAACCTTGGGGTATATAGATGTTACCTACTTACGATCATACAAAGCCAATAAAGCATTGGAAACCACCTAATATGTTCTACTCAAGCCATAATAATGTATTTTGAATTTGCGGTAACGTAAAAAATTGATGGACAGTTACGCGAACCTGATTCAAATATGAAACCCCGATTCATTGTTATTAATTTTGCCATCTTCATTAGTACTTGATCCTAAATCTTCTTTTGCCTCTTCATTGCTATCTTTTACACTTTCATTTGTTTCATAAATAAAGCAAGCGACAGTTTTTTTCCTTGCCCTACAAGCTGAAACAAAAGCGTCTCTTGCGAGTCCTGAAAACAAATATAGGAAATTAAATATTCCATTTCTTACCCATTATAACAATAACATGGAAAGAGGCTATCAGATCTAGCAACCTTGACTTGACAGATGTACATGCACATAACCGTCCGCTAAATATCTTATGTACAACTAATACAATATGTTACCGTCCATAGAATTCGATAGAAGTCATACATAGTTGTCTAACGACATTGCGTTTGAAACCTTATTATTTACGATATACACCACGTTCCTGTTCTGGATTTGTCATTTTATGCCTTGTTTATACACAGTTTACTTACAGTTAATATTTTGAGTGGCTCTGAGGCACATGTACTGAGAAAACACGAGAATGGACCAAAAATTATGAACTTTGATATCTCAGTCGGTAGGTTTACAGCTTATATTCTGTTTCTTGTAGACCACCTGGCAGATTTGACCCAGTCTTTATAACCATCCATATATACGTCACTGAATGGAACTAGTTTAGTAGGAAATCTTATCTGTGAATATTGCCTACAGGCGAGAAAGAGGACATGCTGCCTTTCCCATCCGCCATTTTTTGTTATCGTTACCGCACAATTTTGCACATATCTTACTTAAAACTTCACCTTTTATCAATTCTTTAAAAGTCAATGGACCCATCATCTGCCACATTTATGACGACATATCAGGCAAGTTTAATGTTTCCAGAATATTTTCAAACAGTTCTTTTGCATTTGTAAAGCATCAAAGGGTCTTCTTACTACACCTCTTTTTTGGAATAATGAGTTCCACCAGATTCTCTTTCCCTATATATGCTTTGGTCTACTGAGGCTGGAGCTATTTGAGGGGTATTCATCATTGCCAAAAAGTCAACCTTTGATGATTTTAACACTGTTGTGTCAAGAGATTCCGTGAATGCTTGCAATATTTATGCCCAAACTGCCAAGACACCATTCTTTTTCATGATAAGGCTCATAAAGTGCTGAGCAAACGCACCGCGTGTAGTTCAAAAATACAGCCTTAATCTTGACAAAATGAACATGATTTCTTGAGGATTTGTCAAATATATTTAGCACAACTCATCGATTAAATCTTTTGAAAAGCTTTGATTATGTCCATATATTAATTACATCTTTGGCACTTCCCTCTACCCTACTACAATAGTAGCATATGAATTTGCGACATCCATGACTCTACAATGTTAAAATGGTTCGTCAGTATATCAACGGCTCCAAATCAAACATTCTATTGTGTAAGATTGGTCGTTTGTCAGTGTAACAAAAGCGAGGGACTAAACCCGGGGACTAAACATATGAATTGCGTCTTCGTTAACCTACCCTAAAACCATCAACGCATTCTCAAACAAGACTATCTTCCTTAACTTCGGGCCAAATCATTATTCACAACCTGACTTTTAAGTAGGTGTAAATCGAGAATTAAAAATTTCTCACCAAAACTCACTCACTCGGAGTCCCAGAAGTTGTTCCGCCATGACACTATCATATTTAATGATTTGAACTGATTTCTTGAGGATTTGTCTCGATATTCTGTATTGGCAATCGACTTCGTCTTGTTCCAATACAAAATTTCTCGAACAGAATATATCCTGTATTGCACTTCAAATCATTCAATAACGTTTTTATCGTGTGATCCTCTGTATTGCTACTGAGATTGTCCCCTCCGTACCAATATTTTCTGTATTGCGACGGAGATGATCAACGGGGTCAACCTCAGTAGCAATACAGATTGGTACAGAACAAGAACTGACCAATCAGAGGGCTTCATTTTACAGATCATACGATAAACTGACGTATCGTCTGGGTATCTAGGTGAGGACCGAAGAAAATGATATTGGAGTTTAATATGTGTTGAAATTATCTAAATTTTCAAAGGACTTCATTTACATCAGATTTATGAACTGGTTGTATGTTTTAGTGGTAGCAATCATACATGACTTGTATTTAATTATATTCAGTGGTCTTTTATTAATGAACCTGTTGCCATCAAGACATAATCACCTCCTAGCAACACTGACTCCTGTTGTCATGGCAATAGTGATCAGTTTTCTAATCAGCAATTCTTTAGTCCTCTATCTGTGCCCAAAATTGTCTTATATGGTATGGGGCCCATATTACAATCAAGTTTTAACCGAGGCCTGATAGAACTAAATTACCTCTTTGAAACTGCAAATTCAAGTATTAACTTCTTCCTTTGTATGATTTTAAGTGAAAACTTTAAGATGGAACTAAAAGAGATGTGCTGTTATCAGAGACAGTCGCGTGAGAGACATTTATCTGTTTATCTAGACCATGTTGTCAAATACAGAGGAGATTTGAACAATTCAAGTGTGAAAACAGAACAATTAAATGCTACCTTATGACAAGTGATCTCCACAGCATTAAAGAAATACAGTACCGTATTATCGCCTATTGGCGCACACTCCCCTATAAGCGCACATGCGACTTTTGAAACATGACAAACATTTGTGATCTGAGCAAGAGTAGGAAAACTTACAGAAAAACGATTTTTTTACTCACAAAATTTCATTTCCGGGTAGTAAAAATCCAACTTCAGGTCTGCGCAAACTTTGATGCGCGGTAGTTATTATGATGATAAAATAAAAGTCAAAACTTTACCTGATAAATATCGCAATATTTCTTTATTCTACCAATAGTTAGTCCTTTAAAAACGTAATATTATGGTAAATAAACGACACAAGACATGATTTGGCGTGAAAAAACAGTAAGTAAGATAATATTCATTTCAAACCAGGCTTCGAATTCTGATTTTCACATATTATCGTCCAATCAAAATGATAACCTTATTGGGACTTTATTGGATTGATTTCTCTCCAATTCCATGGTATTTCACCTCAATTTCACAAGCGCACTGTGCGCCAATAGGCGATAATACGGTAGGTTGTTTAAATCAGTTGGGAATTTGATAATGATCTCACACCAAGCTGAACAATCATTTGTACCCCATTAAAATCGTAAAAAATTGGAATATTGTCCATGTAAAATTAGAATATTTTGTTCATGTAAAAGTGGAATATTTTGTCTAGATTCTTCTAAATTCACCATTCCGAATAGATAAAATTGCAATTTTGCAGAGTTAAGAAAAAACAGTGATGTCCTTTTATCACAGAAATATTTTTTTCTATCAGCTAAAAATGATAGATACTGTAGAGAATTTTCATGCTTTATCTTCAGTAAATCAATAAAGTAAAACAAATATTCAAGATTTTGAAAAAATTGTCTACAACAATGAAAGAATTATAGCAAAATAATATATCACCTTAAAAGAAGTTGCTTCATTTTTCTTAGTGATAAGATCAGATTTAGTTTTGTCTAGTTCAGCCCTCATCTTATCTGACATTGCCTGTAGACTGTTAATGTGGTCTGAAGCAGAACCTAGGCCCTTCTTGGAATCATCCACCAATTTCTGCAGCCTTACAACCTTATAAGGATAAGGAAAATATTAACTAGAAAAACAGCAACTCCACGGAGTAGCAAATCCCACCAAACTAAACATATTTTGATTATTAGTGGCCATCTTGAAAATTCCTTCTTGAGGAGAGCTTGTTTGTCCCTAGGTATTAAATGTAAACCATACACATAAATTAGCATTAATTTCAGTTATCAAAGATTACATTCCTTTTTTACGAAAAATGGCAGCCATTTTGAAATTCAGCTGCCATTTTGAAAATCTTTCTCAAACAGAGCTACTTTGTCCCTAGGCATCAGCATACAAAATTTGAACAAAATCCATTCACTGCTATTTCAGTTATCAAAGATTACATTTTTTACGAAAAATGACAGCAATTTTAAAATTCAGCTACTATCTTGAAAATTCTTTGTCAACTGAGGTACTGTGTCTCTAGGCATCATCATATAAAATTTGATCCAAATCCTTTAACTGGTATTTCAGTTATCAAAGATTACGTTTATTTAATGAAAAATTGGCGCCATTTTGATATTTAGCAGCCATACTAAAAATCTCTTCTTCAGTGTAGCTCCTTTGTCCCTAGGCATCAGCATATAAAATTTGAACTAAATCCGTCACCTTGTGACTTGTGACTATAGATTATGTTTTTCTGAAAAATGGTGGCCATTTTGAAATTCAGCCGCCATCTTGAAAATTCTTTCTTGAACAAAGCTACTTTTTTCTATGCTTCATTATATTAAATTTGAACCAAATCTGTTCACTGGTATTTAAGTTATCAAAGATTATGTTTTTTTACAAAAAATGGGCGCCATTTTGATATTTAGCAGCCATTTTGAAAATCTCTCCTCAGCATAGCTCCTTTGTCTCTAGGCATCAGCATAAAAAATTTCACCCAATTCCGTAAACTAGTATAATAGTTATCAAAGATTAAGTCATTTATGAATTTATGCGGCCATTTTGAAATTCAGCCGCCATCTTGGAAATTCTTTCTCGAACAAATCTACTTTGTCCCTAGGCATCATCATATAAAATTTGAACTTATTCCGTTCACTGGTATTTGAGTTATCAAAGATTAAGTTTTTTAACGAAAAATGGCCGCCATTTTGATATTTAGCAGCCATTTTGTAATCGCTTCTTCAGCATAGCTCCTTTGTCTCTAGGCATCAGCATATAAAATTTGAACCAAATCCGTCAACTAGTATATGAGTTATCAAACATTAAATTTTTTACAAAAAATGGTGGCCATTTTGAAAATTCCTTCTCGAGCAGAGGTTCTACTCCCATGAGGCATAAGCCTATAAAATTTGAATCAAATCCGTCAACCGGTATTTGAGTTATCACCCAGACAAACAGACAGACGGATGGACGAACGGACGGATGGCTTTCCTATATCCCCCTCGAACTTAGTTTGGTGGGATAATGATATGATTATCCAAACATATCTGCTTGACAATAAGTTAGCTTGTACGCAGTATTTCAACTTTCACGGGCCTGTTTCTGAAAAATAGAATTATAATTCTGATAACAGTTTTAACTGTTGCATTGACATATTTGAACTTGGGAATTGTGATCCAGAATATTTTTGAAGAATTGCTCCAGGTTGAACTTTTAGGCTGACTGTAAAATATTGACATCAAATGTCAATATTTTCAAGATATACTTTGCCATTAATTTGTCAGTTTTATGTCAAATCTAAAAAAATTACAATCTAGTTCTGGATAATAAAAATTAAATTCAATAACCTCATCTTGGGCTGTTGTGAGATCTGAGGTAAGCTGGGCTTTCATTTGGTCATACTCTGCCTTAATGGAGTCCCTCTCGTGGCTATGTCGACTTCTCTCAGACTCCAATTGACCCTGGAGATCCTATAAACAATAAAACATGCACAGTTACTTTCATCCTTAACAAACTTACTTTCCAAGGTCGACATTTAAGGTGGCCTAAAGTGGGTTTTTTTTTCGTGAAGCCACTCAGTAAAAAATTACAATTTCTCTGCACCCTGATGTCCAATCAACATCATTCGAGTATCTATGTGTTCCTGAAACGTTTGGGCATCCGGTAATGACAACGTCTACCCAATGTTTGCATGCGAAATTGATGTAATTCATGACTGAAATCGGGAAGACAAAAATATGTGATATTCTTTCAAAATTGTTTATAATAACTATTTACAAAAATGTTCCGGAGACACATAAATCCATTAAGGTAAGGTTTGTTTTAAAGTCGAAAAGCCCACATAAGACAATACAAACCCAGATAAAACCCGGAAGACTGCAGATCTCATGTAATGATTTACGTTCATGTAAACAAGTAAAGTACATATAATCCCAATATAAAACACTGGCTTACGTGACACGTTATAACATGGATCTTCAAATAAAACCTTAGCCAAGTTGATTAGAGTTTCTGGAACACTTTTGTAATAGTTTTCACAAGCAATTTTGTTTGTGAATTTCAAATTTTCAGTCATAAATTACTTCAATTTCTCTTGCAAACTTTGGGTAGACGTTGTTATTCCTGGACGCCCAAACGTGTCAGGAACACATAAGATACTTGAATGATATTGATATGACATCAGGTTGGAGAGAAATCATAATTTTACTGAGTGGCTTCACGAAAAAATAAAAAAGGCTATACGCCTTTAAGGCAATACCTCAATTTTACATCCTTTTTATTTTAGTCCAAAAAGGACCACGGAAAGTATCGCCCTTAATTCTTTTGCCAGTAGTTTCTGGCTCTAACAAATAAATGCATATGAAATACAAATATATTCAAAGAATGGTTTCAAGTACAATTGGAATATCTCATAATCCCCGTTTAATCCACCCATCAACAAGCTTCTTTTCAAAATATATTCATCAATTTCGCCATCATCCATCGTATTTTCTACAATTTTTCATGCAAAGTTACAATGTATTTGAACACATATTTCATCACTCTTAATATATATCCAGTACCAATAGCTATATCTCACCAATGCATCATCATCATTAATAGTAATGCTAATAGTTATGTAGTTTTTTACATGTAAATGTCTTCTTTTTTCCTTCCTTTATAATTGTTATAATTTTTGTTTGAATATATAAGCACAAATGCCAAAGGGAAGGGTGACTAAAAACTTTAAAGAAACCCAACAAGAAAAGCAAACTGTAAGTGTAAATCTGTCAAAAGAAAAGTAGACCCAATATATCCAAAAACCATGAACTAACGTGAAAAGAAACAATGTCTAACATCCCCCTCGCCCCTCCAATCGAGAACCAATATCACAATCCAGGACCAGAACACCAAGGGACATTTCATTCATACTGAAGTCATTACAATACATGTTGAAGAAAAATTGAAAAAATTGATAGCCAACTACTCATAACATCAAAAATAGTTGTAGATACTAGTACTCATAAAAGATAGAGAACATGCACATGTAGAGAACATGAACATGTACTTGACCCCAAGGGGTGTGAATGTACTTGAAGAATAAATAAATATGAAGGATTCCTCTTGGATTAGGATTATGATAATCCAACAAAAGGGGATCCAATGGGGAATGTCTTGTCTTTGCTATGCTTTTAGTACAGCGCACTCAGATAAGATGTCATTAGTGTACCATAAAGTAAGTTCAAAATGTTTGGATGGTTACCCTGTTTGATCAATGGAGCATATCCCCTGCATTTCTCAAACAATTCTGAATTATGTCAAGTTGACTGTTTTATGTTTGAGTGCAGTTAAACCTGTTTGTGCGTGTGTAACATTTTCTAAGAAATTCTGAATACCTCTCTATATGATAATTTGAACAGGTTTTCTGTATCTGGTTTATCACTAATGATTCATGAGATGTACAGTACATCAGCATATAAAATTGGAACCAAATCCATCCACTGGTATTTGAGTTATCAATGATTACATTTTTTAGGAAAAATGGCGGCCATTTTGAAATTCAGTGGCCATCTTGAAAATGTCTTCTTGAGCAGAACTTCTTTGTCTCTAAGCATCAGCATATAGAATTTGAACAAAATCCATCAACTGGTATAGACAAGTAGGAAAATCCTCCAAAGCCTTAAAATAAGGGAGTTTAATATTTTACTGACCCCCAGCAATATCTTAGTACCATCGGAAACCTCTGATATCATGCATTGCAAATTTTAGGTTTAACAGAATTTTGACTCGGGCCGTTACCATGGAAACGAAGGCTATAAATAACTTCCACTTTTAACGAGTGTTAATACGATAAAATATATATTCCCATATATCTTTTTTATTTTCTATCAGATAATTATAATATGGGTATCAAATGAAAGCTCATGATCGCATCTTTACAATGAGGTATGAATTATGCAAATTATTCATTTACATAACCATTTTGATGTCATAACTGACAATTTTTAAATTAAATTTAAGGCAAGCGCAAGGAGACTTAAATAATTTTATACAGAGTAATTATCCAATCAATTTCTTAGTTTCACTTTCGCCTGTGTCTAGGGTTACCATATCTTAGCAAGTAGCCATCACATGGTGCGCACGTCAAGGCTTCACATTATATGTTTAAGCAATCAGTTAGCCAAATACATGTATACCTAACTTCAATACTTTGAATATTAAAGAAAACTTAATTTGCCGCCATCCTCCCCGCTAACAACCTCCAATAATGAACATTCTGCCGTTATTTTAGGTAACTTATTATAGATGTCTCTCGCATTGTATGTTAACCTCTTTACCACTCAGGCGAGTAAACATAGATGGCATATGAGTACTCCTCTTATACCTCTATCTAAATCAATGAAAGTCACTTACCGATGACTTTTTTAGTCAACCATCTAAAAACATTAGGTAATATTATGTAATGTTATGTAATATACTCAATATTAGGTAATATCATGTTTGCATTGTTAGATTATGTAATATCATATTATATGTAAACACTATTATATTTGTATTGTTCATATAAAAAACTACATTATGTAATAAATATGTATATATTTACAGTATAATAAAAAATAATAAACGGCTACGAGATAGCCCTAGACACGCCAACTACTTTATTACTGTTACCTTGATTGAGAAGTTATGAAGTATAAAAGATTTTAACATAAAACTTAGCTGTGTACCTGTGTACAATGTATTTTTTCGTTTTTCATATTCATTTGGAAGAGTACGGTGAGCTATAAAATAATGTATAAAATATGCCATTTCGGTCAAATAAATTTCTTTATTGACCTCCAAAAGGGTAACATGCACAATCAAAAAATTGTTTTGAAACTGATCCTCTTTGAAAGAAATATCAAAAAGAAGTTTTATCTTGGGGTATCGCTTTCGTTTTTCGTCAGATAATTTAATGTTTGGTATCAAATGAAAGGTAATGCTTTTTCCTTTTTGATGATGTTTAATTTATGCAAAATAGCTCATTAGCGTTTCAATTGTGACATCATTATTGACATAATTAACACAAAAATGTCAGAAAAGTCAAATGTATGTCATTTATGTTAAAAGGTATAGAACTGTTATTTTCTATCGGATAAAGGTACCATCTGTATGCTTGTCATTCATTCCTTTCTAAAATATATATCAAAAACATCTAGTACATCACATTAAACATTGTGAATTGTGATTGAATAAGAGCCTTATTAAATGTGTGTTTTCCCAATTTTGCAAGAAAAAATATCACACCATTTTTTCAATAGCCATAAGACACATTTTAGTACAAAAACAAATTGATGAAGGGGTGGGGGTCAGTAGTTATTTACGCATGTAGTGGGGATTTGAGACGGGAATATCACAAGGATGATATTCATATCATCCAAGAGGTATTACCAATATCACCCCGACAGGTGAATACTGTAGATTGGGTTAACTTGGCGCTACTTAATTTGGCGATTTTGTCATTTTTGCCATATTGGCGGCCATTTGCGCGGATATGCAAAAAAAAAATTAAAAATTAAATCCAATATTAAACTTACGCGCTGTTTGCGAATTACAATGTAAATGGGCATGTTTGGCTATGTTCATTTTTTATTTTGAGGACCACTGGCGATATTCACCACGTTTGTTCATTTTTGTGAGATCATCCTTTACATTTTGCACTTCGATCGATGCTGCTACTATACCATGCTTTTCCTTTCTAGCTTTTCCCTGAATATTAATGAATGACTGACCAGTTCTGAGCCAATATATGAGAGACATTTTTTCATATTTTTGGAAAAAACTAAACCGGAAGTGACCTAAATACACTGGAGGAAATACCCTAGATAATTCCCGGGGATTCATTCTAAATTTTGGCGAAGATTTATATTGGCGAATTTTTCAATTTCGCCAAATTCGCCAAATAAAAGCGGGCGCCAAATTAACCCAATCTACAGTAATCATATCAGCCTGATAGATGAATAAGGACACTTTACCATGATCAAAAGCAATATCTACCAAAAAAGAAACAATTAGAAATAACATTGGAACAGAAATAAAAAAAATAGGACCCATGGTCCTGTGCTCACACAGTTTGGAACCTTCAGAGGAATGTACGAGGGTTGTCCCAGAAGTAATGCACTATATGCTCTAACTTTATTGAATATTCTTCAATTCAGCTGAAATTTTGTGTATATAACAATTGAAGTTTTATCTATTATATCCTGAAGTTTCAGCATCAAATATTAATATTAAGTCTTAATATGGTTGCTATAGCAACATGGGGGTAGGGGTGGGCGGGGCAGGTACCAATTTGTCTAATTATGAAAAGATCCAAAGTGTTATTTTATTAATATTTCTTTCTTTTAAATGATCAAAATTTTTCGGAAATTGTTAAATTTATTCAGCATGATGTTGACCAAGTACAAATAATGACATTTAGCACTGTCATGTCATAATACCACGGTTCAAT